TTTGAGGTCAGATTTGGGTCAGTTTTGGGGTCAGAGGTGGGTCAGTTTTGGGGTCAGGGGTGGGTCAGTTTTGAGGTCAGATTTGGGTCAGTTTTGGGGTCAGGGGTGGGTCAGTTTTGGGGTCAGGGGTGGGTCAGTTTTGGGGTCAGAGGTGGGTTTATGGAGGGGCAGCCTGCCTGGTCCTGGAGGAGGAATTTGCACCCCAAGAGGCCTCAAAGTGGACAAAAATTGGGTTTTTTGGGATAGTGGTGGTGGGGCTGTGCCTCTGCCAGGCTCCATGTGCCCACTTTTCCCAGGAATTCTGGCAGGGATGGAGCAGAAGGAGTCCCAGACTGGCTATCCCCCTGGAATTCTAGGCTGGGCTCTATGCCACACCTCCATGGGCGCCACCGGCCATATTCCATGGAAACAGGGGAATTTGAACCCTTTTCTGCTTTTCCTGAGGACAAAACAATTCTGGGCCCTGGACTGGATTTCCCAGAGAAGCTGAGGCTGCCCCTGGATCCCTGGAAGTGCCCAAGGCCAGGCTGGAGCAGGAAGATCCTGCCCCACGCTCTGGATGATCATTCATCTCCCAGCCCCCAGCATTCCATGATTCCTCCGGAGCCACCTGGGGAAGCTTTGGGAGGGTTGGTGCCGCAGCTGCAAAGCCCTGGCAGGAGCAGCAGAGACCCCCTGGCATTTTGAAACCCTAATCCCAGGGCACTCACCAAAATCCATGAATTTGATGTGCTCCGTCTGGGGCTTCTTCACCAGGATGGTTTTTTTCTTGGAAGCTCGGATCTGCTTCAGCAGAGCCCCCTGGATATCAGCGGCCGTGTAGGACGTGGCTGATCCCAGCCGGGAGGGGAAGGGAGGGGAGCAACAGTGGAGATTCCAACAGGAATTTCCTTCCCATGACCTCCCCAAATCCCTTCTTTCCCAAGGAAAATAATCCTCCTTTCCTAAGGAAAATACCCCTCCTTTCCCAAGGAAAATACCCCTCCTTTCCCAAGGAAAATAATTGTCTTTTCCCAAGGAAAATAATCCTCCTTTCCCAAGGAAAATAATCCTCTTTCCCAAGGAAAATACCCTTCCTTTCCAAGGAAAATAATTCTCCTTTCCTAAGGAAAATAATCCTCTTTTCCCAAGGAAAACAATTGTCTTTTCCCAAGGAAAATAATCCTCCTTTCCCAAGGAAAACCCTTCCAGCTTCCTTAGGGTGCTGTTCCTCCCAGCTCTGCCCACATGGAAATTTTGCCAGATAAAAAAGCCAACCCCACTGAATTTTAGGATGGTTCTTTCCCTCTCCTCTCCACCCGGGTTTCTCCAGCCAGAATTCCTGCTGGGAATGCCCCTGGGAATGGCCCTACCTGGGTCAAAGTGGGCCTCCACGATGACCCTGACAGCGCTGCTCTGGCCCAGGTCCCGCACTCGGATGCTCTTGAAATCCTTCCTGACATCAGAAGCGCGGAAAAGCTCATCCAGCTGATTGGGAAGGAGCAAAGGGAACATCCTGGTTAACGGGGAGATCCTGGGATGAGGATCCTGCCTGGGAAAAATCCCGACTCTCAGCCAGGCTTGCATTTGCTTCCAAGCCTTTGCAGGGAGGGAACAGGGATGTGCCAGCTCCAGCCGGTCCCTGCTCTTTATGGCAAAGGGAAGGACGGGATCCATAAATAAAGCGGGACAGGGAACCATTCCCACGGTGAGGAGGAGCAGAACGGAGCCAGAGCGGATCCACCTCGCAGCTCATCCCGGGATTTCCCTTTGTGTGGCATCCCAGTCCTGCTGATCTCTCCCAAAGCCCTGCAAAGCTGCTCAGGAACTCGGGAAAATCCCACAAAGCCTCACTCTGCATCCTGAAATCCCGCCTGCCTCCCCAGCCTGGCTCTGGGATGCTGTGGGATTTGTCAGGAGGGGCGGGAAGGACAGTGAGCAGCACCAGCCCCGGCCCAGGCCAGCACAGCCCTATGAAGGCAAAGGCAGGAATTAACTCATTAACTCATTAACTCATTAACGATCCCACGTTCCCATTTCCCCTTTGGGAATGGTGGCTGGAAAGGACCAGGAGCACATCGGGGCGGGGGGGTGGCACTGGGGACAGACCGTGGCATCGGGAAGGGTGTGCCAAGGGGGACTTTTGTGCCATGGTTTTGTGTTTCCATGGAAAACCGGGAACCAGTGGAGCCCCTGAACGAGTGAGCTGGAGAATGAAGATTTGGGGAGCTTTGCCACCCTCGGGCACACGGCACTGCTGTCCTGGGGACATCGTTATTGTCACAAGGGCTGCAGAAGCCACCTGGCCCAGCTCAGCTGCTCCCAGGGCTGCTCCAAAGGCTTGGAATCAGCTCCAGAGATATCCCTGCCCTTGCAGAGCTGATTTGTGGCTGCTCTGCCACCCAGCACTGCCTCAGCATCCCCAAACGGACAAATTCTCACCCAAAATCCACCTGCTCCCACAGCTGGAGGTGCAGGGGATTCTTAGAGGTGGGAGAGTGGATTTACACCAGGAATATCCCACAGTCGTGCAGCTGAACTGGAGCTGAAAAGGATTTGGGGCATATCTTTGTCTCAGGACTTTTCCCGAGGATAAAACACTTTGGGAATCCCAGAGGTGTCAGAACAGTCCCAGCACTGAGGTCAGGCTGGAAGAGGGATTTCTGATCCAGCACAGAACAAAGGGAAGCTGTGGCCAGCAGGGAGTCAGGCTCATCTCCAGGGAAGAAGCGACAGGATGGCTGCAAAGGGCCTCAAGCTGCACCAGAAGAGGTTTAGGGTGGATATTAAGGACAAATTTCCTCCCTGAAGAGGGAGCCAGGTGCTGGCACAAGTTGTCCATGGCAGTGCTGGAATCCCCATCCCTGGAAGAGCTCGAGGAATGTGGGGATTGGGACGGGGTTTGCTGGTGAACCTGGGGGTGCTGGGCTGGATCTGGTGATCCTGGAGGCCTTTCCCAACCTGGATCCTGAGATTCTCGGACTCCATGGTGTCCGGATCCCACGGAACTCACCGCGCTCTCGATGCTCCGCGCCGTCTCCCCGAAGAGCTCGGATTTGGGGTCAGCCATCTCTGGGGTGTAGAACAGCTCCTGGCCCTCCACCTCCTCCAGGATCAGCACTCCTTGGAACACTTTGGTGGCTGGCAGAGGGAGGGAACACAAGACAAATCCCTTTAGCTGGGCAGGGGGTGGCGGGGGAGCGCCGGAGTCCCTGGAAAGGGGGGATGGCAGTGTGGGGGTAGTGCCAGTGCCGGGTTAGTCGGGATGGGACGGGGACAGCCATGGAGGATTAGTGCTGGAGCAGATGGCAAAGGCCAGGCTGGAGATGGCAGCTTTTACCAGACGGGTTCCTGCGAGCTCCGGCCCGGAGAGCAGCCCCCGGAGCTGGGGGACAAGAGAGACACGTTAGAGAACGCGCCACGGCAGCCAGGGGCACAGGGGGGCCGGGACAACGGGGACACCTGGCACGGGGCACAGCCGGCCTGGGCAGCTGGCCAACACCCCCTGCAGCCTCACCAGGAGTGCCAGGCCTGGGGGTGCAGAGACAGAGAGATCCTGCTGTGAGAACCTCACACAGGCTTCCTCTTCCTTTCCCTTTCCCTTTCCCTTCTCCTTTCACTTTTCCTTTTCCCTTCCTCTTTTTCTCCTCCTTTTCCTTTTCTCTTCTCCTCTCTCTTTCTTTTCCCTTCCCTTTTTTCCTTCATCTCTCTCCCTTTTCCCTTTTCCCCTTCCATTCACACAGCCACTGTTCTTTATGGGTTAAAAAGAAAACTGGTGTTTTCCCAGAGGAAAAGGGGATGTCCCACTGGAACCCCAAGGAACAAGGGAGGACTTCAGTGAGGAAAAATCTGGAACACGGCCCCTGATTCCTGACCCCAAAGTGATCCCAAACCTTCCCCCAGCCTCAAATCCACCTGGGCCCTTCTGTGTCATCCCCCTTGAAAGATCCCCAGCTCCTGACCACAAAAGGACCCCGGAGCCCTCCCCCAGCCCCAAATTCACCTGGGCAGTTGCTCCCTTCTGCATCAGCAGCCGCGGTTTTGCCGTCGGAGCAGCAGCCCAGGGGGGTGTTGTAGCACGTGGCCCTCTCGATGGCGGGCGTGGACATCACCTGGCCTTCATCCGGCTCCTCCTCACCTGGGGGACAGCGAGGGGACGTCGGGCAGTGCCCCCTGTG